AATATTGCTACATTTATTTTCAACTTCTTTCAGAAATTCACTTTATTAAATAAGTATCATATTGTTCAGGCTGAGTCATTTCATGTCGCTTTGGGTTGATGGCACTATGAACACTGTAATGACATTGTCAGTATATGTTTAAAAAAGCACTGTCAGTATATGTTAAAAAAAAATACCTTTTTATCAGGAAAGTTTATCTCTAGTTCCATACTAAAATTAATGGAGGTAGCAAAATAAAAAGCCTGAATGCACTGAGTATGCAAGAGAAATTACAGGGTGATCTCTAATTATATCACTGTATTACATCAGTGAGAAATCAAACTAGGACTAATGGAAGAGCTTCTCCTAGAAGCTATGCTAGGGCACGTGGAGAGCAGGGAAGTGATTCAGGACAGCCAGCACAGCCCTGCCTGACCAACCTGCTATGATGGAGTGACTATCAGTGCTCAGGGGAAGGTTTAAAAATGTCATCTCTCTGGATTTCTGTAAATCCTTTGACCCAAGCCCCCACATCCTTGTCTCTAAATTGGAGAGAGATGGACTTGATGAGTGGACTCTTAGCTGGATAAGAGTCCAAATTGGTCAGACAGCCACATCCAGAGGGTAGTGGTCAATGACATGAGACATCTGTGACTCATGGTGTCTCTCAGGGGTCTGCACTGGCACTTTGTTTATTATTATAATAAATTATAATATTTAATATTTTGATTAATGACAGGGATGAAGGGATCGAGCTCTCCCTCAGCACATTTGCAGATGACACTGAGCTGAGTGGTGCAGCTGACACACCTGAAGCACAGGATGCCATCCAGAGGGACCTGGACAGGCCTGAGCAGTGAGCCCATGGGAATCTCATGGGGTTTGACAAGACCAAGTGCAAGGTGCTGCACCTGGACTGGGGCAGTCCCTGGTGTCAGCACAGGCTGGGGATGAACAGATCGAGGGCAGCCCTGCTGAGAAGGACTCGGGTTGCTGGGGGAGGAGAGGCTGGACATGACCCAACCATGGGCACTCACAGCACAGAGAGACAAACGTGTCCTGGGCTGCATCCAAAGCAGTGTGGGCAGCAGGGCCAGGGAGGAGATTCTGTCCCTCTGCTCTGCTCTATACTGCCCTTATATTCTGCAAGCTGCAGGGGTGCATCCCTCTGTGAGACCCCCAGCACAGGAAGAATATTGACCTGTTAGACCAAGTCCAGGGGCCACCAAGAGTATTAGAGGGATGGAGCATCTCTTCTATGAGGAAAGATTGAGAGAACTGGGATTGTTCAGCCTGGAAAAGAGAGGGCTGTGGGGTAACCTAATTGTGGCCTTCCACTATCTGAAGGGAGCCTTCAAGAAGGATCGAGAGAGACTTTTTGCAAATGACCTTAAAAGGTTTGAAACTAGATGACATTAAAGTCCCTTCCCAACCCAGGCCAATCTATGACTGATGGTATGATTTAGTTCCAACCCTCCTGCCATGGACAGAACACCTGCCAGTAGACCAGATTTTTCAGAGCCACGTCCAACCTGGCCTAGAACACTTATGGGGGTGGGACAGCCACTGCTTCTCTAGGCAACCCTTTCCAGCACCTCACCAGCACCTCACAGGGAAGATTTTCTTCACGATATCTAATATAAATGTACTCTTAGCATCCACAACTTCTCTGTGCACTAGTGCAAGTGCTGTTTTGAGCCAGTGAAACAGAACATAGGTGTCACAGTATTATTGACTTTGAAACATCACAAACAGCTCCAAAATGCATGACCCCATCTCTGCTCACACAACTGAAATGACTTTTGCCACTTTTCCCTTGGCATAATGATAAACAGTGTGAAAAGCAACTATTTTTTCTTGTCTTATAAAATACAGCCCTTCCTGAAACTTTTTCAGTGGCACTGGTTACAGTTGCTGTCTCACAGCCTGGTCCTTTGCCTGAAACACTAAGATATAAAGCAAAAATACAGCTGTGAGAGTGTTAACATATTACGATAATGGTGTTAAATTTGGTTTAGGGAGTATATAATCCTTTGTGGCTGATGGTTTGTGGGTGTTAAGGGAGAGACCAGAGTAAATATGGGGGTCTCTTGACTTAACATCTGTTATGCAGTTACTTCAGGCTTTGGGAAAGTAGATTAAGACAACCAGCAGTCATTTAGTGCATTAACATATATTAATGTATAGAAGGTTTTGTCAGTGTAATAGTATTTAAACAGCTTAATCTTTCTTTATCTAAAAAGAAAGAATACACAAGGAATATAGACCTATGCTGGCATGTGAACATTGCTTAAATAATTGTAGAAGATGTTAGATGTGACATGAAATTTGTACAAGCAAACAGCTGAAATTTATGAAGAAACATCTATATTAAGGTACGAAAATGCATTATTTTACAAGATTCCATAACAAAGTGTATGCACAGATGTCAGAATAAGATGTTTAACATACTTAGCACATTGGAAGAGTGTCCTGGATAATTTAGAGAGCTTAAACTAACATTGTGGCTTGAACAACAATTAATATTTCCCACATGCACAAATCTTAAATTAAAATACTGAATATAAGTAAAGAAAACCTCATATTAAGTGGAGCTGTCATGCTAAGTACACATCATTAACTTAAAGAAAACAGCTCGAAGGATGTATTATAAAGGATTTTTAAATTCATGATACATTCCAAATTTATGTCATTTGAAAGTATAGAGTCAGGCTCAGACAACCTATATAAATTAATACATCCATATTTGAACTCAGCTATTAGGTCTTGTATGTGAAGCTAATACTGTGTGCTTTGATCTGGAAAGCTGTACTTAAAGTCCCAGCCTAACTGCTACAGTGAAGATCTGCAGAGATGAAGTTTTCCCATTCCTGGTAAGGAACTGTCTGTTAGAAAATACTAAACAAATTTTTCATTTTCAATTTTGTAAATACTTCCATCTCATCACAGGAAGAAGAACTGAGAAATTATTTTTTAAAAAATTTTAAAAAATAATTGTTTTGATATGTCTTAAGTGAATACTGTTAATGTGTTTAGCAATAACAGCAACTAGATTTTTTTAACTTGCCTTAGATTTTATTTATTTTCAAATTTAGTAGCTAGTATTTGATACTGGGATGAAACTTTTTGCTTTGAGTTAAAAAGAGATTTCCAGTTAAAAGGGTCTTTTTTTTTTACTCAGAGAAATTATTTCTATTGTTTATGTATTTCAAAAGGGCTTGCTTTCTAACTCAGACATGAGGCAACCACTAATTTTCCAAACATAGCTCCATAAATAAAAAAAATAAAATCGTATTCTTCCATGTTTTACTGCTTTCTTCATTTGGACCCAAAGGGGACAGCCTTGCTTGTCACAGTTATGCTTAGTGGTTGCCCTCAAATGGAAATAAAGAAATGTTAGCTATGTCATCATATAAGCTTTCAGTTAAATGTTTTAGTGCTTCATAAGTGTTCTAAAGTTTTTTAATAAAATCCTGGGCTATTGTGTATTTGGGTGTCCATTCCATGCTGTTTGTTTAAGTTTGTTTAAGCTAGATGTTTAAATCTATTGGCTTTGATATACATTTATGCTTAAGACACCTTGCAAGTCAAGCTATTTAATGAATACACAAACTAAGATCCAAACATCACTCAAATCTTTCAGTCAACTGTCCAGTCAACTTAATTTCAAGTTGATATCTATATTAATGAACAATTAGAAAAGACAGGCAGGCTCAGGGCAACTTTATTATAGAAGCTTAAAAGGAAGTGAGGTAAAATTTGATCATTTGGTATATTTTTAAGACTTCTGTTATGTATATGCAAATAGTAATTACCATTTTCAGCCTATCAATAATAATACTCTAATACATTTAAGGTAATTCAAAGATTGGACTCTAAAATATAATTTTGCCCGTGAAAGCACACTTTTAATTTCATTTGATTTGGCTTTTCATTGCATGAATTTTCTGGCATTTATTCCTTTAGATATTCATAAAAACAGAGACTTAAACCTGTTACCAGTATAGTGAATAACTTGCAGTGATCTCAGATGCAAATCAAGGCATTCCACTTTGTGCTGGGTACCTGCACTGTCGTAAGTTTGAAATGCATTGCTTTCTATGACGTTGGGTTTTTTGGATTCTTTGTTTTTATTTTTTAAAATTTTTGTATTGGATAACTTCCGTTATTGCAAAAGCAAGACTATTTGTAATGGTTTGGACCAAATATAGTGCAATCAGATGCTGTGCAGGTTTACCTAAAGAGCTTTGACAACCTCTTAATCTTGATATGTAGCACACCATCTATTCTAGCCATGGTTGTTCAAAAACATATAATGTATGTCATGCTAAATTGCACACTAGCTGTTTGGTTAGTATGGATGTAATTATACCATAAACTGAATTGCAGCTGAAGCTGAAAAATGGACCTAGAGCAATACTTTTAAATTTTATAGGTTTTTATGCTAAACCACATTTTAGACTTTCCCAGACAGTCTATAGTTATCTTACTGTGCATTAACACTCCCCTGTTGAAGAGGTAAGGGAAAGAAAGACTCAGGAGCCAGAGATTTATGATTGGAATGATCGGATTTGACAACATTTTTAAGCCTATGTGTGGTTCTAAGTAGGGGTGGAGGACATGCTGCAGTATTAAGTAATTTTAGTCAGCTTGCCTGGAGGTTCCTCCTGCTCTGAAGAGTTTTGATACCTGTCTCTAAATTCTTCAGTCCTTGCACTTTCAAAACTTTCATTGACCGATCTTGGTATTGATTGTTCGTGAACTGTAACAATGCCTCTTGCTTGTCTTATGTCTTTAATCTTTTTATCCATCTCCATAACTAATCAATATTTATATTTTCATGGAGGCAATATATCCATATCCAGTCTTGTGTCTGCAAACTCACAGAGTGTTTGTAAGACAGATTGGTATAGAAATAGTTTAACATTTTCTGGGATGGAAGAGGAAAGCATTCCAATATGTTGTAAATACAAAGATAGGGTTACCTCTTACATGAAATTGCATTTTCTTTCTACCAACAGGTCCCATAAGTAGCATTTTGGTGAATAAGTATGGCAGCCGGCCTGTGATGATAGCAGGGGGTATCCTGTGTTCTTTTGGAATGATTGCATCCTCCTTCTGCAATAGTGTCCTTGAGCTGTATATATGTATCGGTGTGGTTGGAGGTAAGAGTCCTGTTTAAAAGGCTATATTATGCTATATCAAACTATTTCTAATATTGTTCTACAAATGAGCCTCACTGATCGAGAATTCTCTGTGTACAGACCCAATCCAAGAAGGTAGTAAGATCAGTTAATTTCATCTACCTGAACTGTCTAATCCTTTAAATTAACTGGTATGATGTTAAATTATTTCTTAGGACAATTCAGAAGAACTGAAGAATTTATTCAATAAATGCTGTATGTATGTACTTTTCCACATTGCACTGTAATTGTGGTATAAAAGTTGATTGGCTCATGACAGCACTTGCTACAGTCATCTGTGTACAATTTCACATTTGTTGTTTTAGCTTTCAATGATGTTGCACTGTGGCAGAGGCTAGCCAAATTCTAGTAGAATTGTGAAAGCTTGTACCAACTGCAGGTTTTTTTACATACACATAGTCTCACAGAAAAGTATAACAACTTTCAGTTCGGTAGTTTCCTGTTTAAAATCCCCCAGGGTCAATCACCAAATAAAATTATTCATAATCATCTATCACAGGCCTAGATATCGCCTAAAGCAATGACTTAAAATTATTGTAATGCCAGTAAATTAAAGAATCTCCTTATTAAAAGTTGTGGGGTTTTTTTAAACTCCCTTCTCAGAATAAGGAAGGAGAGGTGAAATATTGGCAGGTAACAAATGAATGAGATAATACCTGTATATTCAGGCTCATCTTCCTTTATGTTTGGACAAAAGGAGTCCATTTTTATTCAGTGATTAACCCTGAGAAGTCTTATTTTTGATGTCCTAAACTTGATGCCTACTGAAAGAGTAACATCAGGGTCTGGAAATGGGTCTATCAAGGAAGAGAGTTTCCCTCCTGTACCATCAATCAGATGCATATTAGAGTTTATGGCTTAGATGTCTTAATACAGAGAGAAGGCCTAGAGGTTCAGCTTTAGGTTCAGTTCATACACTCAACTGATCTGAGTGGGTGGTCTGCTCCCACATGTGTCCTTTACAACTTCTTAATAGTGATCTGGGGAAGGAGAGCTGAATGTGCTGGAAAATAATTTGCCATTTTATGCTCCAGTTTTACAGACAAGTTGAATCTTAATTAGGGTTGGAAACAAGAAATTAGGAGATTTATGTATTTAAATAAACCCTACATTCATTCTAGCTGAGGTGACATTTAATAACTTTTGTTAAATGAGCCAGGAGAGAATTGTATTATAGTTTAGCAAATATAAAAAAGGTGAGTCAAGGCACAGATACCATCATTCTTCTGTATGTGATTCCCTTGTCTCTATCATTGCTGAAACACAAAAAGGAGTTTTGGCTTTCAATGCAGCACTACAAGGGAAATGACCAAATGCCACCATGACAAACTCTTGGTATGAACACTCAGAGACATCAATGAGGCTGTATTTCATTCTCTGATGCTAGTCGGTTTTGATATTGAGAATCTCTGGATTGGACACTGGTCATTTAAAAAATATCTTGAAAGAGCTGGGATGTATTTTTTACTGCATGACCTGCAATAATACTATCTTTTGTGTGTTGTTTAGGTCTGGGTTTAGCATTCAACTTACAGCCTGCCTTGACCATGATTGGCAAGTATTTCTATAAGAAGCGTCCCATCGCCAATGGATTGGCAATGGCTGGAAGTCCAGTGTTTCTGAGCACATTGGCACCTCTCAATCAATTCCTCTTTAATGCTTTTGGCTGGAAAGGAAGCTTTCTTATTCTGGGAGGACTTCTTTTGAACTGCTGTGTGGCTGGATCACTTATGAGACCTGTTGGACCAAAGAAAGTCCCTCCTGTGAAAAAAGATGTTGAAAAAGGCACAGGAGATTCTGCCTTGCACAAAAACAACAAGAAGTCTTGTTGGCAAACTATGAATAAGTATCTAGATCTGTCCCTCTTCAAGCACAGAGGGTTTCTGATATATTTGTCAGGAAATGTCATTATGTTTATTGGTTTCTTTGCTCCGATAGTATTCTTGGCTCCTTATGCCAAGCACAAGGGAATTGATGAATATTCTGCTGCTTTTTTGCTCTCTATCTTAGCCTTTGTAGACATGTTTGCTAGGCCTTCCATGGGACTTGTAGCAAACTCCAGGTTTATCCGGCCAAAGATTCAGTATTTTTTTAGTTTTGCGGTCTTGTACAATGGCGTCTGTCATATCTTGTGCCCTCTGGCAAAAAATTACACTGGCTTGGTGATATATGCTGTATTTTTTGGGTTTGCATTTGGAATGGTTAGCAGTGTTCTTTTTGAGACATTGATGGACCTTGTTGGAGCTGCAAGATTTTCCAGTGCGGTGGGACTTGTCACCATTGTGGAATGTTGCCCTGTGCTCATAGGCCCTCCTCTAGGAGGTAAGAATGTATTTCTTTCCAGTTTTTTCAGACATTACAGCATAATCTTGCAATGTAACTTTGAATTAATATAAATATTGTTCTTAATGTTGCTCTTAATGTAACTAGAAATGTACCATTACAGCCTGCTGGTAAAACATAACTTCATCAGTTACTTTTGTCCAACCTAGAGGCAGCTTGAAGAGTGCTCACACTTGCTTACACAACTTTATCTAAGTAGAGAGAATAGGCATTTCCAGAGAGGAAATCTAACAGGAAAGTGTCAGAAGGAACACAGACCTGCTCAGCATTTTAGACACGGTGCACACATGGTGGAATTCCATCAGGGTGCTATGTGGCATTGTGCCCTGGCATGATGTGACACCCCAGCTCTGCTCACAGCCAGTCCTTTAGCCTGTTTCTGTAGCCAATAGATGTGGGCAAGGCAATGCAGAGGGTGAACTGACTGAAAGATGTTAGCATCGCAAACTTGTCTTTTCAAATGTAAGGGGAGCTGAAAGGGAACCTAGTTATGTCACTTAGACTATATTCATAACACTTGGGCTTCTAGCAGCAATAATGAACAGTATTTTGAGAAAGTATTTTGAGAAAGTATTTTATGTTTGCTATATTTTGTCTCAGTATTCAGTAATGCTGATAGTAAGATTTATATTATTGAGATTTCTGATGATATAAGATATTTAAAAAATAGATGCTCTAATTTTATTGAGAAGCATTGGTGTGTATCTTGGTGTGTGTGTTGCAGTATAAACACAACAATATGAAAATATAAAGATCGTGAGATTGACACCCTAATGAACATATTCTGTACCCACATTAGCACTGCCTCAGAAGTCAGCAAGATTATGTGTGCCTAAAAGCATTTACATATACCAAAATACTTCAGATTACTTTCGGTATTTCTATGAAAATAGCATTGTTGTGTGCAATTCTGAATATGCCAAAACATTTCCACTCACTTCAGTAAAATAATATTTGTACAAGTAAATTTTTAATACTTCTAAAGGCATATTTTTCTCATCATTTAACATACAAATCCACTTTGGCAAAGGTAGAGAAAAATACATCCTCACACAGACTCTTCATATGCCACCTAGTGGGGGGTCTGAGCCTCTAACCACTGGAGTCCAGTCTTTTCAGTCAGATTCTGAAATCAATATAAACTCAAAAGATATTAAATCCAATATTTATGGAACACTAGCTTCCACTGTTTGTTTTTTTTAAGTATATTAGCTTTTCAGGACTTTTGCAAAACAGTTTTTGTGCTGTAACAATATGAATTATTGATTTAACTTGTTAAACAGAGATAACAAAGGGGGTGAACACATGGAAAAGCTAAACTCCAGTTTTGATAAGTTCATATGTTTTAAAATAGTATGCTGAAGCATTGCTAATTCAGAATTTTGTTTTGAAATATATTTTTATGAGACTGCTCATTGATAAAAATCAGTAAATTGCATTATTTACACTAATAAGTGAATTTTACGCTTGCAGTGCTATTTGAGTTTGTCCTAATAATAGGTTTGTGAAAAAAAAAAAAAAAAAGTCTGGAATAATTTCATGGCTTGTAAACGTGTATCAGGTGTATCGGCTGGCTTTATGTTTTCAGCCCAGTAAAAGCATCTAAATGCATAAAAAATTGAAGTGTCCAGCTTACCCTGTGAGTTTCAGTTATAGTGTAGGAAAGTTCAGAGCTAAATACTTGGATACGTACAAATGTTAATTTGAGAATTGGGAAAATTTAGGAGGAATGTCTCATAAATTGGAAGAGCTATTACATTTTTCTCTTCTTGTCATAAAGAAATTTAATCTCAGACGTCTGAATGTGAGTTTTAGGTACAGGGCTCAGAGTTTAAAACTCAGCAGTTGAGTGTGATGGCTGCAGGTAGAAGCCTTTCTATCTCTTTCACCAGTCAGAGGAAAGTAAATGTGAAAAGCAGGCAGCTGATGCACAGAGACAGGAGCCTAAAAAGGCACATACCTCTTCATCCTATTGTCTTTATGCAGCCTCAGTGAGTGTCAAACTCTCACTCCAAACAATAGGAAAACACAATTAGGCGGTGAATAAAATAATAAGGGAATGAAAGAATGAAAATAAAAGAGCTGAAAAGCTTTCATTATTCATTAAGCTTTACTTACTTTGTTCTTCAATATTTTATTATTGTCAGTGTCTTCAATGGCAATTGCTATCTTGATTAATTCAGGATTTTTTAAAGAGTTCCACTGTCTATGTTAGACAACTTTAACATGTTGAAAATGCATTTCTGCTCCAACTTCAAAACCAGAAAATATTCATATATTTTTACCAAGGGAATGATGTGGGTTTTATTTGGTATCCTAGTCTAAATACTCTTTTTCTTTCCTCTTATCTTTGTATTTCAGGTTGGTTAGTAGATGTTACTGGTGAATATCAGTACATGTATTTTGTCTGCGGAGTAATTGTGACTGTGGCCAGTATCTGGTTGTTCATTGGCAATGCCATCAACTACAGGCTTTTGGCAAAAGAAAAGAAGTTAGAAGATGAGAAACAGAAAGCACAGAAGAACGCTGACCCAAAGGAAGCAGAACCATTAACAAACAATGAGAATGAAGATGCTTCCAGCAGAGCTGATAAAGCCCTTGAAGATCCATCAGAAAGAGAAACCAATATTTAATTTGAGATATAGCTCAGAAAGCAACATTTATGACTTCCATTAGGAATATGTCTTCAAGACACAGGCCAAGTTTTGTGGTAATAATGATCAGTCGCAATATTGGATGGGATCATATTTTTGCCCTATGGCAAGACTCAAAGCTAAATTACTATCTACAGTTTATTTGTTTCATCGATACAAAATTGCAATTACAGAGGTAGTGACTCAATGCAAATGAGTCCATTAAATTTTGACTCTGGACAATCAAGAGTTAGATAAACCAGGCTATAAAGCCTTCCAATGACAAACTCTTTTGTTTCTTAAGTGTATCTAGTGCAAAAGTATCTCCTACTCTTATTTGGGAAGATACTTGCATTCATCTTTACAATGTGGTTAAAGTCTATTGAAATAATCTGCCCAAATTCTACTTACCATTAGTATTAAAGAGAACATAAAGTCAAAGATTTGTTTCAAAAGACACATAATACCTGACCGTAGAACACTGAAACATTATTCTCTTTTGTGCACCCACTAGATAAAAAATATGGCTGCATAAGCAATTATGGATATAAAAGTTAAGTGTAGGAGACAAATAATTGGTGAACACACCTCTAAAATGTAATAAAAAGCTGATTTATAATATATTCCAGAAGTAGTTTCCTCCAGTGACAGCTGATTACACAGTACTTCAACATATATACTTTTGAATACAAAGTATGGTCACACTTTACTAATTCAAACTAGCTGAAATCTGCCTGTACATAAAAGGTTTAAACCCAAGATTTACATATCTAACAAGAGTGGCAATCAGTTTGTTTGACTATGTATTCCTGTGTAGCTGAAGGATCTGGATCAGTCTGTGAAGCCATTTTCCTAAAGGGACTAGATTCATAATCTGCTGATGTTAAAAGGATACTAACCCTTGGCTTTTGTGGCCTTAATGAGTTTCATGACAATGACTTCAAAGTAGATGTTTGGCTTTATTGTTTGATGGTTTCTTGAGAGGAGATTTAAGACCTACCTTCAGATCTTTGCGGATGGGTAGCTTCCCAGTTCCCACTTCCTTTTCCCAGCAATTTAGTGAAAAGCTACTTATTTTTTTGTAGTGCTGCTTTGAGCAAAAATGCTGCAAGGCACCTTGACAATGCCAGTCTGGAAGCTTTGTATTGACACATCAGTTTTATGCAGGATGTTTAGTCTTGTGTCTACAGTTTCAGGCACACCATCATATAAATTAAAATGTACAAAATTGTTCCTCTTCCTTTAGACAAAAAAAGGCATAAACCTACAATTTTACTTTACACAAATCATTTAGTACTGCATTTGAAAGTTAAAAGTGCGGGCTTCTGAAGATAATATGTGAAATTATTTCTGTTCTATTTCTTGGTAAGGAAGGGTGCTATTCATTTTGGAGGGATGCTTATAAATGCCTCAAAAATTGTGAAAATTAAGGGTCTGATTCATAAAACATTTATGCACTGTTTATGCAGGATACACCTACACTCAATTCCAGGAAAAGAATACTATTCATTTTAGTCCTCTTCTAAATTTCAAAATTTCAAAAAGTTGGAAATATATTGGACAGACAGCTAACTGTGATAAACACACTTTTAAGTGCCAATAACAAAATTAAAAACTCAATAGTAAAATCCAGTAGATATGGGAGGGCTTTTAAGAAAGTTATTTCTTAATATTGATATGTTCAATATTATTTTAATTTTTCTTCTAAAAATGTTGATAGTGTTTGCATCTGTTTTACTGGTTTATCATTTTATAAAGTTCCACAGTAATGCTGATTTTTAAAATTTTCTCATCACTGTTTTGGGAAGAAACATGAATCTACTCTCAGCATGGTACAGAATTTAATACCTACTTTTTACCTAGTTATATTCAGGAAAACCAAACTTCTCCAACAAATCCTGTCAATTTTTAGGAGCATCAGAAACAAAATATATGCATTTCAGAGTTTTGGGAGAAAATATGTGTTGCATGTTCAGACTGGAGCCGTGTACTGTGTAAAGGGGAATGATTCAGTCCCAGTAAAATTAAAGTTCCTCTCCCAAGCCCCAGCTTTGGAGAGGAAGTAAATCCATTGCATCTCCCTCTGAACCTTAGCCTTGCCAGCACCCTGTGACATGAAGCATTGCTCTCTTTTTGGCTGTACAAACATAGTGAATTCCAGGAGCTGTGAAGGCCTGTGTGCCCATAGCCAGAAAGTGTTGAGTTTCATAGACACTAAGCTTTCACACAGTGAGAATTATCAGTTATAAATACTGGATTGTGAAAGATGAACTGAAATTTCAGCTGAAGAGTGGTCATCAGGAATATCACTCTGCTCTTGATAGCCACTGATAGAAATGCAGAGATTATTTGAAAATAGATTAATACAGGAACTGAACCAAAATATCTGAGGTAAAATTTTAGGTGCTTATTGTTATCTCTTTGCAAAAAAGCAGCATGATTACGAATAAGGGTAGAATACAAGTGTCAACTTTTGACTGAAGGCTGTTAAAAGTTGCTGTTAAGTAAATAAGGGATTCAGAAAAATTATGATAAAAAGAAGTCTCTCAGGAAATATGCAGGCAACTTGCCTGTTCTATGCAGGATCTCAGAATACAAAATGATATGGCATAGGAAATAAGGGAAAAACAAAGATCCTCGAGCCATAGACACACCTGACCACTAGTAGAAAAAATTATCTCACCATCTCAGAGGAAATAAAAATTTCTATAAACATTCTACAGAGAATCTACCCTTTTATCTCTGGTCCATTATGTTAAAAGGCAATTGGAGTGCAAGAGTTGCTTTGCCACCATTCACCAATATTCATTTTTTAATCCTATAAGGCAAAATGATGTGGCAAGGCAACTAGAGTAATATAAAGTAGGAAGAGCCAAGTTAAACATTTCCTTACACCTCTTTCATTACTCTTTCTCTTAATAATAGCAACAAAATAAAACCCATCAGCATACTCTTAATACTACTGAATATTAAAGAAGTTAAAACCCAGAGATGAGTGAAGAAAATTGGAACTGTATCTATGCAAAAACTGCCTCGAATTAAAAACCTGTGTCTTCCAAATTACAGAGCAATTGCCTAGTATAGGTAGCTCATTTCTAAAAGTAATGATAATAATAAATTGCCTTGAATCAACTTTATTCTGAACATCAGAGTTGCAAAATGAGTATAACTTGGTTTCAAACTCTTGAATATCACTCCTACTTGCGCTGACCTGTAATTTGTACTGTAAATCATTTCATCACTACATTTCTGCTTTTGAGATTAGACCTGGGTATATACATAATTCTCTGAATTGCTCTGGTTTCTCTCAATTACCTCACCCTCAGTTTGAACCAGTGAAGGGTCAGGATTAAGACATTCCCCTAATCAGTGATGAAGAAATATACTCAAACTTTCTAGTACATGTGTCTCTTATGCACGCTAAGAATCTGGAGTCTCAGTCAGTGCAAGCAAATCCTTAATTGGTCTTGGTCTCATTTATGCTCGTGTATACTTCATTCTTTTAATTTCTCAGCTACAGTATTTCTAAGCCTGTTTGCCCTTTTACTCTTCTAGAAAAAATAATGCAAAAAATTTAAAACTTGTAGGAAGGTGGATAGCATAAATAATATTTTCCCCAATTTTATATCAGGATTAAATTTCAAGTTGTTTTAAAGTGCACAACCAGATATTTCTCACTCTTTTGGGGTTTTTTACGTCATATAGTCTATTACCTGGAGAATTCTCCTGTACTGCCCTTTCCAACTCAAGAGAGACTCCTCAGTAATAATTTGCAGTACTGTTTCAGGAATGTAAAAAAATTTCACCCCTCCCTTCTCACCCCATTGAAGTGTGGTTGCAATTGTTGTTAATTCTGTATTTCCAGAAAAGCATCTTTTTATATGAAAGACTAAAATGCTTTTATTTCAGGAGTTTGTTTTGTGAACTGTTTTGACAGAGCTAGGGAGAATCTTATTTCATCTTGAAAAAGATTTTTTTAAGTGATGCTGTCATTATTGAGAGGAGGTATAGCTTTACTTACTGCTGAAGTGAATGGCAGCAATTTCACTGACATTGATTCAAAATTCACATGAATTTTAATAGTCGTGTTGCATATCAGTATCCACTGTGCTTAAAAAACATTTGACAATGTGAACATGATTGTTCCTCCCAGAGAATTATCATTCCTTTTAAACATTCACCGCCTCCACCCCCCCATACTTCATTTTTAACAAAAAATTTGGACTGAGTATGTAGTGACTTATCTTTAATTCTTTCTTGTTTTTTCCTGAAATGACACGTTTTCCATGTTCCCAAATGCAACATTTTTCACTTCCTTTTTCATGTCTGGTTGTGAATATTAGTGGAGAGATATTACTGGGATACATAAGTTAAAGAGACCACATGCAGCCAGATTTTGGACTGCTATCAAGATTTCACTAAATAAAGCCAGTTACTGCTTTTATAGATGAACATGCTATAAATAACACTGACAATTTTGCCTATAACATAATTTAATCAGGCAATTTTTGTTAGTTTCTCTATAGATTACTATTTTTCTACTCACAGAGAGGACTATAAAGGAAATTTTAAAATAATTATTTTCAGAGATGGCTTACCAGTTTTAACAAGGCTGTTTGGATTTTTTTGGGGGTGGGTGCACTTCTGATATTTGTGCAAATATATGTATAATGAAAGTGTTTGCATGTACTATCACATTTTTTATCAGAATTTGCATAAGCATTGCTGTGTAATTTTAACATAATTTGCATGTTGTAGTTTTGCAGTTCAAATTTTTCTCATCATCTACCTCTCAGTTGAAGTTTGGAGACTTGCACAACCCTGGAAGAATCAAGTTAACAATATGCATAATGGTAAAAACTGTGCAGACTATTAGAAAGTCTCCCAAATACTAAATACTAAAGCTGCTTACACTTCTGTTTTCAAGACAGTATATCTGTGACTACGTATCAGTTCACATATCTTTAATCGTAACCCATACCTGTGAAGTATTTGCATCACTGATCTGGTTTGAAAATTCAGTGTGTCACTTAGCTATCCAAAGTCTAATGATCATTCTGTGAGATGCTGGCCCACTATTATTTTTTGTTTTCTTACAATTTCTGAGTTAGAGAAATGAACTAAGTTAATATATCCAAAGAGTTTATAAAATTATTACAGAACATTTTGCATTTTGCATCCCTGAAGAAAAAGTTGTGTTTCTGGGTTAGAAATAATAGAAAATTTTAGCTTTCTTTCCCTTTTATGGGGCAATTGAAGGAAGTAGTCACAAAATACTAAAGTGGGGTCAAGGAATGATGGTTATTCTTCATATGCTCTTTACGAAAGCAAATATGATTGTTCCTTCAAAGATATTTTTCAAACCATTCTTGCCTTCTAGGACCTATTACATAGTCCACTAAAGCCAACATAAAAATACCAATCAAAGAGTTTTACCAGACATTGGAGGTGATGTGGCTTCAGTGGATATTTCAGCCTTATTTTCTCCATTCCAAATCTCAGGTCTGTCAGATATAACACAACAAACACAGGATTTGTTACAGCTGGCAAATTTTCTATGCCTGCATAATATTTCTAATGAATCAGTCCCTAAATTAACGCACAATATGTATTATTTTAATAGTCTATGTAAATAAATTTAAAAAAAATCCCACCATACACTCTGAATGTAGATTATAAAATACAGAAGCTATATTTGAATAAATATCCAAACAAGTCTGTCAACCCCAAAGGAAATTATCTATTTCCTTCCAAGCCTTCCTTGAGCAGTTGATAACCTTAATTTTTTTTATTTCCAGAGAAAATGGTTTATGTCATCTGTGAATGTATATATGGACATATATAAGGGAATATATATGCAGATATGGTATGTGTGTATATATGTATTCCCCTATATATAAAAGTCTCATTTATATATATTATATATATTTATGTATATATAAAATATATATAATGTTTTAGAATAAGTTGCATATTGTGCCTGATAAATAAAACATAATTGTAAGCAAATAAAAAATTTCCACAAATGACAGAAAAAATTGAAGCTTTTCTGTAAGAGCATATGTTATTTTTCAGTTTCTGCTAGATTTATTTATAGTAGAAATTAATTCAAAAAGCTGCAGTATTACATAACACTGGTTTCTAACCATGACTCAGTTCAAAGCAGCCTAAGATCACTGAGAATGTTCATTGAGATAGACAGCAAAACCTGCATTGTTGGTGAACTTGATGGCAGGGTGTCATTGCTGTGGAAATATTAACTAAATGATCTCTGAACAGACTGCAACCAATGTACTGAGTTTTTTTCTAATGTCATCTGTATGACCAGTTCATACATATTGGTGGACATGGTATCCTTGTAACAAGTATGGAAAATGAGAATTCCCATCCCCTGCAAACAATATTCCTGTTAGAGTAATATATTAAATTCTCCAAAACATTAGTCACTAAAAACACTGACAATGTATCATACCTTTTACAGGTTTTGGTGTTTTTAATTTGTCTTCAAGTAGGCCCATGAAAAATCTACATTTGGCTTTCACTCTATAAAAGTTATACCTTAAAATTATTGAGAGATTTTTCAGAGTGGTAGATAAGTCATTTACATATATTCCCTTCCTCAAAGAGTGATACAGCTGCATCTTCCACTTATAGGCTACTTGGAAAGTTCACCATATCTGCAGTTTATCAACAGAACCTGGTATTGCTATGCAATAATTAAACATGCAGTAACCATTGTTGTTGACTAATAAAGTTATTTCTTCCTTTCTGTATTTTGCAATACTATATGGTTTTTACTTGAATATATTGGCTAGATTTTTTTTTTGACAATCATTTATTAGCTAGAGGTGCTATTTATGTTCCAAAGAGATATGAGTGAATGATAACGTTCTCTTTTTAGATGCCAAATCCTTTTTTTGACCTGACAAAATTCATTGTTCATAATGTATATTAACCCTGTAAAATGCTTATGCATTGCATTAAATTGTATTTAAATGCATTTTTGTTAATTAACTTCTATTCCAGGCTTGTACTACTGTGTAACATGTCACATTTGTCCATATATATTTATGAGAAATTACAATGAAAATTGTGTATAATAAGCAATTGGGAGACAAAAAAGAAAAATGAAAATAAAATTTCCATGTAAAGTTTTTCTGAAAGGATGTAAATTCTATTTTCTTAGGCTCCTTAATAGTATATTATTTACATCTTCAGAGATATTTAGATTGATTCACAATTCAGTTGTAGCAAAGATCTCAAAATTACTTCTTGTTGCATACAGAAACAGAACTTCAAGATTTCCTGTGGAGAAAAGCTACTACTAGTAGCAGAACATTGTACCAACCCCTTACTATTCCTAATTTCACTATAATTAGGACTTATACATAACTCAGATACCATCTGGACACCAGGGATTCTTTTCTCCATTACTTGGACTTGGATGTGTTCTTATATTCCATGTACATGGAATGTTATTCCTTAGTCACCAATACTCATTTTGCTACAGAAGAGGAATTTATCCACGTCTTGAAATAGTGTATGTAGATAAGTTCTGCTTTATATCCTCTGAATGTTATCTGTTCCTTTGTTTTTGCAAATTGACTTCAGTCTATGATTGCTTGCCCCAGGTAAATTGTTATTTACACAGTGTGATTGGATAATTAAAATTAATATATTATGGGGGCTGTTAGAGACAGTATTAAGATGCACCTTTGCATACTATCCACACACCATTGAGACAGATGCACCTTAGGCTACTAGAAAACAAAGATATAAAAGAAGATGAACTATTGAATAAGAAATAAATAACTTTATCAAAGCAAATAGTTGTTATAGTTCTAATAATGGTAAAATCTATTTTCAAAGAATTATACACATAATCTTCATGTTAACAGAAGTTTTGATTCAGCTACCGAAATTGTTTAGATTTTGTTTAGATTATGGACCCTTGTTTTATAATGTTGTAATAATCATAAAAATCCATTTTTAGACATTGACCAAACAAAATAATAAAAAAAAGTTTAAAATGTCTAGTAGTAAATTTATCCCTTTAAAACAATGAAAACGATACAATATTTAACCCTGCTAAGAGACACAGTTGATATCACTTTCATGCCTAAGGATATGCTGCCTCACTAAATCTAAATGCATGACTAGAATATATTGCTGAGAAATAGATACTGATTTCAGAAAAATCATTCCTATTTGTATTTTGATAGTGTTGTGGCAAGATAAATAGACACCTCAGTCTGTAGTTCGTCTCTAATAGCTGTTACTGTTTTTCAACAAATGTTATTTTATTCTAGTAATGAGCCCTTTTAACTCTGCTGATTATTCCAAGTCAAGTAAATAGATTGCATTTGCCATTGCAACTCAACATTAATAACTTCCACAGTTTTATTCTTCTGATCAGGACTTTAAAAACATTTTCATTCATTGAAGTTCCTAATCTGTAACATCCCTTCAACCCTGAACTTGTGTGGGATCTGCTGTGCCAGCTGGTTCCCTAAAAGTCTAAGGGACCTGATGAGATTAATCTGAGAATACTCAAAGAGCTGGCTGATGCCATTGCAAGACCTCTATTGTTTTTCAACAGTCTTGGGAATCTGAAGAGGACCCAGGTGACTGGAAGCTGGCAAGCATTTGCATTTGCCATAGCACATTATGTTCTTGCTTAATTTTCTTAAATTACAGATAGAGATCAGAGGTACCAGTGTTGTTTTTTAAATATAAAGTCTGAATCATAAGTCAAAGAAAATTAAGTGATATATATAGTGCATTAACAAGAGACACATAATTGGTGATTGTGATTCACTGGCTGAATAAGTAGTTCCATTTCATTAGGTGACTTCTAATTACCCATGCCTGGTGACATCAAACTGTAAGTCTTGTCTTGGTTAAAATATATATCCATTCACTGAACACCCATTTTAGTAATGGAAATTTCTATTGTATAACATAAAGATGTTCTCACCTCTAAACTTACATGTGAGAATATTATTCTGTTCTTTTTTTTTGACTAGCATGAGAACTCAGTCTTGCAGGTTTTTCTGTACAAAGGAACTCTTGATCTAATCCAAAGTTTCACTTTTTTTTCCTCACAAGATATAAAAGGAAGATACACCGGGGCAAAATCCAGAAACACTGAGTCAGATTTATATTTTTAGGACATTTTACCCACTTTTTCTCAATTAGTGCAAATTGATTTTAAAACATCTGGGACTGTACTGGCTTGAATTCAGTTTAAAAATTTATAATCACAGATTTAATGTATTATTTGAAAATGACCTCAAATCAATATTTCACATTAATATATGAGAATTTAAAGTAATTTGTCAAAACTAATATTCATCTTAGATGATTTTCTTTTCTGGGATTTAGCCAAATTTTAGAGTTAATGGGCCTGGAAAGTAATTAAGTTACTTCACTTCTTTCATATGTTCTCCTTCTAACTTTGTCACTGATACTGATTACAAATGTGAGAGACTGAAACAATGATTAATGGTTTAAACGTTAAGATCATCAAATACCTTTGTCCACTGTAGTGACTACTGATAACTAAAGACTGCCCCTCCTCAAATATGCCTCCAGACAGGAATTTGGCCTCTGATGGGAACTTGAGATAAGATAAAGGTGGTACTTTTGTCCAAATATCTCAGGTCTAAGGAGAAGTAAAGAAGGCTGAGAGAGAAGAATGAATCCACAAGGGAATCCCAACCAGCAGCTGTGATGGAAATCATCTCTGGCTGGGTTGGTGGTGAGGGAGGCCACAGCCCACAGGCTCATCTGCTGAGGCCCCTGCTGCTCAGGGAGAGGAGGAGAGTTTTTGGGGGTATGACAGAACACCCATATACAAACTGTCTCAGTTGTAAAATCTCCCAACAACAACAGTAAGAAAAACAAAAAAACAAAACAAACCCACCTCCCCAAAAAAAACACCAAAAAAAGGACAACCAAACAAAAAACCCCCAACAAACCATTAAAAAAATTATTCTTTTTCAACTGTTTGAACCTTATAAAAAGGAACTCAGAAATTTATTGGAAATTGTGAAGTCTCCATAAAGAAAAAATTAATCAAAATGCAGGTCTGGAAGAGATACTGAACAGCATTTGCAGAAATCATCCTAAAATCCTGCAAATATTATTTCAATTTAAGATCAAGTTAGAATTTTTTGCCTGGAAATTATCAGTTTTAATTTGAGTGCTTTTAAGAGTAATATATATGCAATGATTTGTATTGTTTCATTGAAAACACCTATGAATTTTCTTTCTTTTGTGTGTTTCTTTTTTTCAGAATTTAATTATAATTTTTTCCCCTGGAAATTGTGTAAACATAGTTAATCAAGCAATATATGTTTATATATGCATAAAAACTGTGACAGCAGAATAATTGTCATGCCTTGTATATCAACTATATAGAGTTATAGTCAATTCTTACGGCTGTGAGAATTAGTTAATCTAGTCAATTCTACTTCCCCTTCATATCATGTTTCATAAGCTGGAAATGTGCACAGTCTATTTGAACACTTTAATGTTTTTGAAATTGGAATGGAAAATTTGCTAATGCTGCTTTACTTGTTTCTTAATTTAAGACAAGCAGAAGTTCATCAGCACAATCTGTTACTGTTTTATTGTCCTCATGAAGGTTCATGAAGACGTACAAACTACACAAGCATTTAATAAAACTTGTATATGGCACTAAATTCTCAGCACAAAATTAATATGAAATATTTAGGATAATGTGTTATGAAAACATAATAAAACTCTCAAAGCTTTCTTTTGAAATAAGTTTTAATGGAATACAAAAAGAAAACATTTATCTTAGATAATCTAGTTCAGATATCAGTAACTTGTTTGTGTTTTTATTTCCTACAAAATAAATATTTTCAGAAATGGTCCTGTAGAACCCTAAAACTGTAGCTAGGTGCCAAAAGAAATGGCAACATTTTATGATATATCATATATGTATCAGTTTTCACTTACAAAGAGTTTATTTTGGAGGAACAGTGATTGATTTTGGAAACCATCATAATATACTTTGATTAATAACTGCAATTCCAATTTGGTCTGCGTAATAAATGAATAGCAGTTAGACATCATAGTTTTTCAGTTCAATCACTGAATTGAATAACTGGGGGGAAATGGTTGAGGATGAAATGAAGAGGGGGTTTTATTCCCTCACAGAATAAGTACTTATTTGCCTTAATTACAAAACAAAGATTTTCAATTCCATTTTGAACCTTCTAAATGGACATAAAAGGAAAATTGGATTCAATGTATGAAACAACAGAGTTTAGCAATGATCACATTATTCATCAGACATATTGGAAGACAGATTCATTTCTGGTTGACATGAACGACCCCATGATTCCCTCTTCATCTTTCATTTCAGTTTGCATATTGACACTTTACTATCTGGATTATATGTCTTCCAACATCAAATATTTTATGCAAAGTGAAGGAACACCAGTAAAAATAATTGATAGTACACAAAAAATTGCTTTTTCAAAAATCCCCTGTGGATTCACAATTCTCCAAGTGTCTCACAGCAAATGCATTGGTTTGAAAAGTCATAATACCCACAGTTCTTAAAAGACTGAAAAAACCCCATAGATTTTCATTGACAATCTATTTCTTTTTACTCAGCTGATGTCCACTGCAAATAATAAAAAGCTTTGTTGTTGATCCCAGAAGGATCATCAAGTTCAACTCATTGAATTCCAGCCTTGGAAAAGACATTCCACACCATGTGCCCGAGAGTGTTGTCCAAATGATTTTTGAACTCTGTCAGGCTCAGTGCCATGACCACTTCCCTGGGGAGCCCCCGTGCCCAACCACCCTTTGGGTAAAGAACCTTTTTTAAATACCCAACCGAAACATCCCCTGACAACTTCAGGTCATTTCCCTAGGTTCTGTCACTGGTCACCACGGAGCAGAGATCAGTGCCTGCACCTCTTCTGCCCCTCATGAGGAAGTTGCAGATGACAATGAGCTCTCCCTTCAGTCTCCTGTTCTCCAGGCTGAACAGACCAAGTGACCTCAGCCTCTACTCAAGAATTCCTGCCCAGACACTTCACCTTTTTTGTTGCCCTTCTTTGGTCACTATCCAATAGTTTTATATCCTTAGCACCCAAAACTGTGCACCATATTCAAGGTGAGC